GTACCTCACTTGAAAATGCAGAAATCACCTGTCTTCTGTGTTGCTTGCCCTGGGAGCTGGAGACTGGAGCTGTTCCTATTCGGCCATCTTGCTCCGCCAGTAATGCTGTTTTTATAGAATGAGTTAGAAAGAATTCTCTTTCACTTTTTAGAATAGTTTGAGAATTGATATTAGTTCTTTTAAAAAAGTTTTGTGGATTTCAGATGTATAGCCCTTTGCTCCTGCGCTTTCTTCATTGGGAGGTTGTTAAAATTACTCATTCAATCTTACTACTCATTATTAGTCTGTTCAGGTTTTCTATTTATTTCTGGTTCAGTCTTTATAGATTATATATGTTCACACATTTATACATTCTTCTGTTGGTTTTCCAATTTGATAGCACATAATTGTTCATAGTAGTCTCTAATGGTCCTTTGTATTTCTATGGTATCAGCTGTAATGTCTTTTATTATTTATGATTTTATTTATTTGGGTCTTCTCTCTTTGTCTTGTTTAGCTAGCTATCAGTTTGTCAATTTTATCTTTTCAAAAAACCACGTTTTAATTCATTCTGCTTATCCTTTGTATTTTTTTAGATTCTATTTTGTTTAGTTCTGCTTTGATCTTTATTATTTGTTTTCTTCTACTTATTTTGCATTTGGTTTATTTGTGCTTTTCCACTTTCTTGATGTACAGCATTATGTTGTTAAAATCTTTCCGCTTTATTGATTTTGTAACTTATTGTTGTGAAATATCCTTAGCACCGCTTTTGCTTTATCACATAGGTTTTTGTATGTTGTGTTTGCTTTTACATTTGCTTCAAGAAGTTTTCAAATTTTTCTTCCTAATTTTTTCATTGATCTAATGGTAATACAGAAACATGTTGTTTCATTGCTGTCTATTTTTACCACCTCCAGAGATACTCTTGTTATTGATTTCTAGTTTTATCCCATTGTGGTATGACAAGATATTTGATATGATTTTGATTTTTTGAAATTTCTTGAGACTTGTTTTGTGACCTAACATATGCTCTATCCATGAAACTGTTCCATGTGCTGATAAGAAGAACGTGTATTCTGCAGCTTTTGGATGAAATGTTCTGTAAATGTCTGTTAGGTCCATTTGGTTTATAGTGCAGATAATGTGTTGATTTTCTTTCTATATGATGTGTCCAATGCTGATTGTGGGAGTTTTGAAGTTTCCCACTATGATTGTATTGGGGTCTATTTCTCTCTTTAGTTCTAATAATATTTTCTTTATATATCTGGATGTTCTGGTCTTGGGTGCATTGTTATATCCTGTTACTGAATTGATCTCTTTATCATTACATAGTAACTTCTTTGTTTGTATTTGTGTTAGTCCATTCTCATGCTGCTAGGAAGAAATACTCAGACTGGATAATTTATAAAGAAAAGAGGTTTAATTGATTCACCATTCCACATGGCTGGGGAGACCTCAGGAAACATACAGTTATGGCAGAAAGCACCTCTTCACAGTGCAGCAGGAGAGAAAATGATTGCCAATTGGGGAAATGCCAACCATCTATAAAACCATCAGATCCTGGATGACATACATAGGCAGGCTTATTCTCAAGCTCTGTGGTGGTGCATTCAGGTGTGCAGTGACCCTTCAGCTGGAGGTGTGTTGTTTTTGTTGATGGCAGTGTCCTTGGGAAGATGGTTTTCAGACTCTGGGAACTGTGCATTTTTGCTCCTTTTGTCCAGTGGGCAGCCTCCCTTGTATGCTATACTGCCTGTTTTGGGTGATTTAGGACACTATATGGCTACAGTGCTGGGGACCCAGATGTATTGCTGGGTCCAGCTGGCATCATAATGCAGCAGCCCTCTGTTTGGATGAGGGAGGATGTCTTTGGGGCTCCAGGGATGGGGAGATTCAGGAGCAGCTAGGCCCCAGGGCAAGATGTAGCCTGATGGGGGATTAGTTCTCAACATGGTGGCAAGTTGCACCTGCTTAGGGTTCAGGGGGTGAGTAGAACGGAGTGTGAATTTCCTCTGTAGAACAACGCAATTGCAATGCACTCCAGATGACTTTCTATGCTAGACTCTCCTGTGGCTATTGCAGGCATCTGTGATGGGAATATGCAGCACTGGGCATCTTTTACTTACCTTTCCTTTGCAATGGGGAACTTTTCTTGGATCTGAGACAATCATGGCTGGGCCAGTTGCTTCACTTCCCTCTCCTTTCATGCCTCAGAGGGTCCCTGTTACTTCCCTGCTGAATTCCAGTGTTCTCGCTTAGGCACTTTATTCGATGTGTGGTTATCTACTTGTTTTTGGAGGTGCCTGACACTGGCCCCTTCCTTGTGAATAAGGCAAGTGTCAGGCACCTCTAGTCAGCCATCTTCTTCTATCTTTTGTGCAATTTTTGTAATATATTTTACTTTTTCATATGGCATAAACATACAATACATTGCTATTTTTTCTATAGTCATTTATCTTTTAGAGTGATTGAAAATAAGAAAATTTATATTTACCTTTATTTATATCATTTCTGGAGCTCTTCATTTCTCTGTGTGGACCTTAGTTTATAGCTGCTATTATTTCTCTTCTGGCTGAAGAACTTTTGTTGACATTTCTTACAACACAGGACTGTTTATAATAAATTATCTCAGCTTTTATTTTTCTTAAAATACCTTTAGTTTGTACTTCATCTTTGAAAGATATTTTCAATTGGTATAAAATTTTACATTGACTTTTTCCCAGTAATTTCAATATATCATTACCTTGACTTTTGGTTTGCACAGTTTATGTATTTCAAAGAGAAATATGTATTTTTATCTTAGTTCATTTGTATGTGATTTATCTCTTTAAGCATAATATATATATAATTTTTAATAATATATTTATTCTACTAGTTACTGTTTGGATTTGTAGCTCAATATCTTTCATTACCTTTGGAAAATTCTCAGACATTATATCTTCAAATATCTTTCTGCTTCATTCTTACTCTTATATCCTCGGGAATCCCAATTATATATATATTTTAGATTGGCTGATACTATTCCACAGCTCTTGGATGCTCTGCTCTTTTTTCCCTTTTGCCTTTCCTATTTCCCTTTGCATTTATGTTTAGATTATTTTTATTGATCTAAAGTTTACTGATTTATTTTTCAGCTGTGCCAAGTGTACTGATGAATGCATTAAAGGCATTCTTCATCACTATTAGTGTGATTTTGGTTTTATCATTTCCTTTTGTATTATTATTGTGGTTTGTGTCTTACTGATGAAATTTCCCATTTCTTCATGAATTTTGTTCTCATTTTCCACTACAGCCTTTAACATATTAAGCTTTATTTAAAATTCATTGTGTGATAATTCCAGTATCTGGTCATTTCTATGTCTGGTCCTGTGTATCATTTTTTCCCTAGATAGTAGGTTGTTTTTTCTTGATATTTTGGCTATGTCTCACAATTTATTATAGAATACCAGAAGAGTAGAGAATACTACTGTTTTTATAGTATTTATAGTACTTGCAAATATTATTTGTCACTATAAATGGATATATCTCTTTCCAGCTCATTTGGGTGGGGGCTTGTGTCAACCTAGCTTGGAGTTAAGGTGTGTTTGAGTTTCTTTGTTGCTATGGTTATCTTCAGTATCCAACTAGCTTCAAATTATTCTAGTGCTATTTTATTTTTGAGGGAAGGGGCTGGCTGGGGTGATTGAGTATTTAAGATGACCATAGCAACAGTGAAACTCAAACCTAGTTTATTTCCAGACTAGGTTGACACAAGCCCCTACACAAATGACCTGGAAAGAAGTATATCCATTTATAGTGACGAATAATACTTATAATATTCTCTGGGAATGTTTACCACTCCTTCAGGTGTAGACGAGTTTTCCTTTATTGTTTCTCGTCCTCTCACTTTTGCACTCAGGTGATAAGTTCGTTATTGCTCCCCTAGTCATGTAAGGCTGTTTTTCCCATAAGGGACTTCATACCTTTCCTATTACAGAAGGCTCTCTCCTTCTCTAGGCCTGTACCACAAAGGAAAACATTTTCTGGTCTACCTACCTGCCTGTAATCTTCCTTCTGAATATCTGGTAGAGACCTGTACAGCAGAGTCTTCAAATGGATGTGAATTCCCTTTGTGTCTATGACTCAGTAGTTCCACACTCTTGTATTTCCTTATTTGACATTTAATAATATTTAAAAATTAGCTTAGCTTTTTTACTAACTTGTATGGGACCCAGCATTACTTCTTCTTGTGCTCTGCCATGGAGGAGTCAGTCCTTGCTTCCCATGCTCTTTTTGGTGGGGCTTGACTTTCCTTTGACATTGGATGATTTAGCTGCTCTTCAAACTCCGTTCTCTGATAGATTTGGGAAAGTTATGATTTTGTACTTAATTGAGATATTTGTCATTGTTAGGGTAGAAGGGATGCTCTTTCCATTTTTCTACATCTTAGGTGAAAGTGAAACTTCAAAAACTTTTAAAAATTAAAGTTCCTGTTAGGAAATAGAACATCTATGCTAATTCAGTGTTTCTCAGATTGTTTCCGGTGGAGCATCTGGAAGTCATAATGCTATTTATAGAATAACTGCTTTATTCAAATTTAAATAATTGAATGTATGTTTCTGTCAAATTATGTAAATTATTTATATATTAAATGGCTGATGCAATTTAATGAATATATCTTGGATTTTGATAATGATAGAAGATTTTTTATAGTTTATATACAATTCTAATAACACAACTTTGGAAGATGAGTTTACTGTTCACATTTTATGGATGAGAGGAACTGAAGTATAAAGATATTAGGTTGATGGCTTTGGGGCACAGAGAATTAGCATGTATTTGAGTTGACATTTGACGCTATATCATTTTGTTTGATAATGTAGCCTTTTTTCACTGTACCACAATGTGATGTTAACTTCTTTCTGCTTGGTTAAACACTTGGTGACTAGGGAAGGGGTAACTAACAATAAAAATCTGACTGGACTTCTATTGCTGAATATACTTTGACTTTTACTTAACATGAGACAATTTTTTTTTAATAGGCAATGATATGGGAAATGATGATGCCATCGGAGGGAATGTGAGCAAATATATAGTGCTTCCAACTGGATATTGTGGACAGCCCAAGAAAGGACATCTTCTCTTTGATGCTTGCTTTGAAAGTGGTAAGTATATTAAAGGCTTTTCCTTTTAAGTTTGTCTGGTAAGACATTTTTTTTTTCAGAATTGAATTTTATGTGACCATTCAGTGCAATTCAAGTCATTTAATATTTCACAATAATGGGACAAGTTTTATGGGAAAAAATTTTGAAGGAATTAACTTGGGAATATCAAATTTTTGTTGTTATAAATGATTAAAAATATAATTGATGGTAATATTAACAAATGCTTATATAGTACTTTATATTTTAGAAACTACTTTCCAAGATACTTTTTTGTTTTGGACTAAAACCCTCATGTTTGACTGTATTATCAATTATGAGTTATTGAGTAATATCTGTCTAGTTCTGTATGACATGCTTACAGTAGAACTTAGTCTTGGGGGGAGAGGAGACTTCCCTATAAAACAAACAATTAGACAGCAGACCTAATTGAATACAAACTAAAGAACAGAGGTAAAATTTCCTCATAATTGGCAAATACTGTGGGTATTCTGACAGTGGAGATAAGGACTTGATTGTGTATTCTCATACAGGAGGGACTAGATCTTGTTTAGCTCTTGATGTTCTCAACCTCATGCTCTAATTGTCACTTAGCAGAGACTCAGAATATGTTGAAAATGTTAGTAAGAAAGGTAAACATAATTTTATTTTACAAATAATTATTAATTTTCATTGGTTCTGAATAACCAATGAAATTAGTTATTCATATACATGCATGTATGCAAATACATACACACATACATGCATGCATGTGTGTGCATATTTATGTATATGTGTGGCTGAAGGGACATATCAATATCAATTATATAATAGTTGTTTCTGAACCTTAAAAGCATTGGTTGTTTATGGCAAACAATTGAAAATTTGTTTATGCAGGATGTTGCTCATTGATTATGTCATATTGTATAGGTTTGATAAGGCTGATATAATAAAGTATTACAAAGTGGGTTAAACAACAGATATTTATTTTTTCTCACTTTAACAGTATTCAGTTTGTCACAAAGTACCACAAACTGAGTGAATTAAAAAACGGAAATGTATTGTCTCACAGTCCTGGAGATTAGAAGTCTGAGATCAAGGTATTAGCAGGACTGATTCCCCCTAAGAATTATGAGGAAGAATCTGTTCTGTGTTTCTCCCCTAGCTTCCTACAGGTTGTTAGCAATCTTTGGTGCTCCTTGGCTTATAGAAGCATCACTCTAATCTCTGCCTTCATCTGTACATGGTGTTCTCCCTGTATGTCTATATTCCAAATTCCCACTTTTTACAAAAATGTCAGTCACATTGGATTGGGACCTACTTTAATGAGCTCATTTTAACTTGATTACCTCTATAAAGATCCTAGGACTTCAACGTAGGAATTTTGAGAGGACATGATTCAGCCCATAATGCAGTATTGTAGTATTGTACTTCCAGCCAGACTTGAATACTGTCCGCATAATTAAGCACAATGGCTTTTTATTTTCTATAAATCTTGTACTAGTGCCTTGTCTTATATGTACTTGATGCCTACAAAATATCTTTAATTCTTTCTTATGTTAGTTAAAGACGTAAGGACCTTTTACAATAATTAACAACTCTGTGGGAATAAAGATTATCCCCATTTTAAAGATTAAATATCTTGATTTACATACAGCCTGCAATAATTCATATTCCTTTCTCATAACATCTTTTCTTTAACCCCGCTGCAGTCTTTTTCCATCCCTTCAAAAAACACTCAGTAAAAGAAATTGTTCAATCTTACCATGTAATCACCAAATAAATAATGCATATTTTCCCAACAATTTATGAACAATTGGTTATATCAATTAGATCTGTGCTAGTAATACATGAGACTTGCAGTAGAGTGGTTAAGTGGACAGACTTTGATTCAGGCTGCAGTTCATATCTTGGTTTGAAAAAGGAGCCAGTTTTCTTACATTTTATTGAGGGATGATACCTACTATCCATCTTAATGTGTGTGTATGTATGTATGTATGTGTGTGTGCATATATACATACAGATAGCTAGCTAACTATTAAAAATGTGAGCTTCCTTACCAGAATATACATAGTAATAATAATAATAATAATAATAATAATAATAAATTAGATGAGTGAGGACATTTTAGAAAAGATATATATTAGTTAGGGCAAAGAAGACTCTTCAGAATTTAGAGTGTCAGTGACCCTGGAGGGCCTTCCCACACATCCACATCCTAACTTTCACAATCCCGTGTTTCCAAATCAATGCCTTCATGTTAACAATATGCACTCCGCCAGGCTGGTGTTTAACTTGCCTTGTAATTCATCAAGTCATAGGATGAGGTTCTACATTTGATCTTCAGCAATTTCAGCCTTGCAGCTACAGAAAGTGAAGATCTCCTTCAGGGTACACACAGAAGCTCTTAGGTTATTTATTAGGTGTTTTTGCTGGGAGTTTGAATCCCTGAACTCATCCCCCCACCTTTTCTTAACCATGTTGTCCGGTAACATCAGGAGGAACCAGTCAATGTCATTAAATTTTCAAAAATGTTTAATAGTATCATATACACAGTCACATAGATCCCTGCTTCTTATAAGTGATTGATTAGGAATATCTAGTGCAGTTATTTTTCATATCTCTGTAAACATTTCATGCCATGGACTTTCTGCTGTTGGATATAACACCATTAGCACCTTAAGTTTTCTATTTGAATACATTTAAGGGGTACAAATGCAGTTTTGATACATGGATATATTGCATAGTGGTAAAGTTTGGGCTTTTAGTGTAACTATTACCCAAATAGTATACATTGTACCCATGAAGTAATTTCTCATCTCTCATTCCCTGAACCCCCCTACCTTTTTGAGTCTCCAAGGGCTATTATTCCAGATTCTATATGTATACATATTATTTAGCTCTCACTTATTAATGAGAGCATGTGTATTGACTTTCTGCTTTTGAGTTATTTTACTTAGGGTAATGGCCTCCAGTTCCATCCATGTTGCTGCAAAAGACATGATTTATTTTTTTTTTAATGGCTGAATAGTATTCCATTGTATATCACATGTTCTTTATGCTGTCCTGCATTGAGTGACATTTAGGTTGATTCCACATCTTTGCTATTTTAAATAGTATTGTAATAAACATTGGAGTGCAGGTAACTTTTTTACATAATGATTTCTTTTTCTTTGATTTTTACATAATGATTTCTTTTTCTTCTTAGAGATTTAATCTAAGAGATTAAAATCTCTTTTAATTGAATGGTATTGAATGAGTTCTATTTTTAGTTCTTAGAAAAATCTCCATACTGTTTTCCATAGAGGTTGTGCTAATTTACATTCCTACCAACAGTTGATAAGCATTCTCTTGTCTCTGCATCCTCAGCAACATCTATTATTTTTTTGCTTTTTAATAATACTCATTCTGATTGGTATAAAATGATACCTCATTGTACTTTTAATTGCATTTCTCTGATGCTTAATGATGTCGAACATTTTAAAAATGTGTTTATTTGCCATTTGTAATGTTCTCTCTTAAAAAATATTTATTCATGTCCTTTGCCTATTTTAATGGGGTTATTTATTTTGTTGTGGTTGTTGTTTGAGTTCCTTATAAATTTTGGATATTGGATATTCACCTTTTTGTGACATTTTTGTAAAAATTGGATAAAGTTTGGATATTAGTCCCCTGTCCGATAAATACTTTGCAGGTATTTTCTCCCATTCCACATGTTGTCTGTTCATTGTGTTGGTTATTTCTTTTGCTGTGTGGAAGCTTTTTAGTTTAATTAAGTCCCATATATTTATTTTTGTTTTTGTTGCTAATACTTTTCAGGCCTTAGTCATTAATTATTTGCCTAGACCAATGTCCAAAGGAGGTTTTCATAGTTTTTCTTATAGTATTTTTATAGTTTTAAGTCTTACATTTAAGTCTTTAATCCATCTTGAGTTGACTTTTGTGCATGCCAAGAGATAGGAGTCTAGTTTCATTCTTCTGCAGGTGGCAATACAATATTACCAGTACCCATTTATTGAAAGCAGTGTCCTCTTCCCAGTGTATGTGTAGTTGGCTGGAGATAGGTGGCTTTATTTCTAGGTTCTCTATTCTTTCATTGATGTTAGGTGTCTATTTTTAAACCAGTACTGTGCTGTTTTGGTTAATATAGCCTTGTAGTATGTGTAATTTGATGCCAGATAATTTGATATGTCCAGCTTTGTTCTTTTTGCTTAGAACTGCTTTGGCTATCTGGGCTCCTTTAGGTACACTATGAGTTTTAGGATTGCTTTATCTGGTTCTATGAAAAATAATGTCAGTATTTTGATAGGGATTGCATTGAATCTGTAGCTTGCTTTGGGCAGTGTGATCACTTTAACAGTATTAATTCTTCTGCTCCATGAGTATGGGATGTTTTTTCATGTGTTTATATCATCCATATATTTTTCATCAGTGTTTTGCAGTTTTTCTAGTAGAAATATTTCATCTCCTTGGTTAAATGTATTCCTAGATATTTTATTTTTTTGTAGTTATTGTAAATGGGATTGCCTCCTTGATTTGTTTCTCAGCTTAGTCATTCTTGGTATATAAAATTACTACTAGTATTTTTAAAATATTTTAATTTCAATCTTTGTGGTTACATGATAGGTTTATATATTTATGGAGTACATGAGATACTTCTTTCCTTCAGTGGATTGTCTCTTCACTTTTGTATTAGTCCATTTTCACCCTGCGGATAAAGACAGCACAACTTTACAAAAGAAAGAGCTTTAATGGACTTACACTTCCATGTGGTTGGGGAAGCCTCACAACCATGGTGGAATATAGGAGGAGCAAGTCATGTCTTGCTATGGGACAATAGGAGAGATTTGCTAAGTGTGCATATAGCAAATCTTTCCTATTTCCAATCTTTTCTATTGTGAATAATGCTGCAATATACATGGGAGTGCAGATATCATTTTGATATACTAATTTTGTTACTTTCGGGTATATACCTAGCAGTGGGATATGCCACTGCTAGCTATATGGTAGCTCTATTTGTATTT